CATCAACAATTCGTCTGCTCCCCCCTCGCCCTGGTGACGGACCTCCCACCGGACGATCCCTAGGCAGCGCAACCCATGTCGCCTAACGCCTCTCCCACTGGTACATGTTCCTCTACCCTTCTCCCAAATCCATCCTCCGTCACCTTCTCTGATGTTGTTGAGGAACAAGCCCGACACGTTCGGCTTGTCAGAATAGGCACAAAACAAAGCCGCCTTAACGCCATCATCTCCACCGCCTACTCATCCCACTTCCACCTCAAGTTTATCGCCGCCACCCTTGGTGCGTCTACAACCAAGTTTCGGGCCCTCCTTGACATTGGAGCTACCGACAACTTTATCACCGACGCATGTGTCCGAAAAGTCGGTCTCACCTCTACTAGTTACGACTCCCCGATTACCATTCGTCTTAGGGACAAAGCCATCGCCGTTGTAGTAGACTGCACAATTCCCCAGACCACCATGATTGTCGGAACCCTTCGCAGTGAGGTCTCATTCGATGTCATGCACTTGATGTGCGACATCGTTTTGGCAAAACCTTGGCTGGACCACTACATGCCATACGCATTCCACCCCAACTTCCACCTCACCAACCCTGCTGACACACCCATTGACATCCCCCATTTCCCCCACTCTACCTCCCAAAGCTTCGTCACTCCCCACCAGTTTCTCGACATGGCCTGTCACAACCCCGACTCCGCCTGCTAGTGCCTTGTCCGTGCTCACGAATGTCTCGAGGACTTGCTATCTACGAACAAACCCGATCAAGCTTCCCCCTCCGACCCCGCCCTCACCTCCATCCTCAACGAGTTCACAATTGTTTTTCTCAAGTCCTTGCCTGTCGGATTACCCTCGGATTGTGGTGTATCTCATACCATTGATGTGGAAATGGACCACTCTGCGCCATGCCGCCCTCCATACCAACTCACCGTCCTAAAAGCTGAAGAAATGAAGCTCCAACTCAATGAACTCCTTGGAAAAGGATTCATTAAGCCAAGCTCCTCCCCCTTCGGTACAAGCTGCCTTTTTGTAAAGAAAGGCGGAACCTCAGAACTAAGGCTGTGCACAGACTACCTACCGCCTTGACTCGGATTATGGTCAAGAACAAATACCCCCTACCTCGGGTCTCCAAGCTTCTTGATCACCTCCGTGGAGCCAAATATTTTACCAAGTTTGACCTTTGCAGTGGCTTTCATCAGATCCGTATCTGCGAGGAAGACACCCACAAGACCGCTGGCAGTCCATCTGTATGGACTTCGTCTGCGGTCTCCCCAAGACTGACGGCGGCCATGACTCTATCTATGTCATCGTTTGTCGCTTGACCAAACGGGCGCACTTCATTCCTTGCATTACTTCGCACAACGCCGAAGACGTTGCCACTCTCTACTTCAATCATGTCACACGCCATCACGGCCTCCTGAGAGCATCATCAGCGACCGTGATCCCCGCTTCCTCTCACAATTCTGGAAACACCTCTTCAAAGCATATGGAACCACGCTTAAGTATGGCACTGCATTCCACCCCCAGACTGATGGACAAACTGAGAAGATAAACGATACTCTCCAAAGAATCCTGCGGGAGTTTTGTCATCCACACCAACACGACTCAGACCAGTTGCTCACAGCCGCCAAAATCGCCTACGACAACGCCGTCTGTCCCTCCACTGGCATGTTCCCATTCTACCTGGACCTTGGCTACCATCCTTGCTTGCCCTCTGACTTCTTGCTTCTTTCACAACGTAACCCCTCCAACCCCTGCCCTTCTCTCAATTAATGGGTAGCAACAATGAACAGACTCCTCCGAGAAGTCACCGAAACCCTTGAACAAACACAAGAACAACAAGCCAACAAGACCAACAAACACAGATGTGACATAACATTCAAAGTAGGGGACAAAGTCTGGTTCTCCGCCAAACGCTTTGAACCTGAACACGGCTTGTCCAAGAAACTCTCGAACAAATGGCTCGGACCCTTCCCCATCATTGAACAAACCTCCCATGTCAATTACAAGCTCCGACTCCCTCCTGACATTAGTCTTGTCCACCCTGTCTTCCACGTAGAATACCGTAAAGAATATCATGAAAACCCACCCCAATTCGCTGACCTCCCATATCCTAGACCTCCACCAATCATGTTACCCACAGGCCCTGAATTCGTCGTCAAAGCCATCATAGGACGAAGAACTACTCCGGTATCTGACCACCCTGAACCAATCACAGAATACAAAGTTAAAGGGACAGGATACCTCGACGAAGAATCTACATGGGAACCTCTTGCTAGCCTTAAGAATGCCATGAAACTTGTTCGCGCCTATGTTCGCACCCATCCTATATCCTAGCTACTCGCTATGCCTAAACTCTGCCTAAACCTTGCCTAAACCCTGCCTCCCTGCACTACACACATCCCCTGTACCCAGCAAAACCCTTGCCCCTCGACCTCCCTCTGTCTGATCCGCTCTTGCCTCCGTCTCGCCCCGTTCTCCCATCTGTCCTCTGCCACATCTCTGTCCCTCTTGTCCAAGTCCTACATGTGGCCCCTGCGCGTCGCCAGCGATAACGGATCTAATGGCAAGCGCACAAGGATGATGGCATGCTCCAGCTCGGTACGAGGAGATAAGACAGCTGGTTGGCCACCATGCTGTTCCCTTTGGCCGGCACCTTGGACTCGCAGACTTCTGGAGCAGCACCTCTGAAATGGACATCAAGATCAGTCTGCGACCTGCAATCCGGGTCAGACCTCGTCATCAGATCGTGTACCGGACACAACCTGCTACTGGGACAATCAAGCTGAAGTCCTCGCCGTCTACATCACAGAACTGCTGAAGACTGCTTCATCACCAACACCTCTTCGACACCGTCCAAGACCTTCCTCAAGACATTTTGTTTTGCTTTTGACACCTTGTTACAGACCTGACAATTTTTTTTTTTCTCAAACCTGACAACCTATAACCCTGTAGAACACCAATAGGACTGCCCTGTTACTTGTAGAACCTCAATTGGATTACCCTGTTGCCTGAACATTGCTACCATCACCCTTGTAGAACCTCAATAGGATTACTCTGTTACTTGAGCATTGATTCCCTCATTCCTGTAGAACCCCAGTAGTATTAGCCTGTTACTTTAGCATTGATTCCCTCATCCCTGTAGAACCTCAATAGTATTACCCTGTTCCTTCAGCATAGATTCCCTCATCCCTGTAGAACCGCAATAGGATTACCCTGCTACTTGCATTACTCCCCTTTTCCTTTTCTGCCCAGTGATCGGCCCCATCCTGTCCTTCAGAGTTGTTCAATAGGTCTTTGGCAGCCGGGGCGTTGCCTTCCAGTGGGAGGGGATAGTGTTATGGACTCAGCCAGGGCTCGATCCCTGGTCCGCGGGTTACCACCCCCACTAGGCTGCTGTTTCATTTTTGAGTCTCTGATCTCCGGCCCCTGACTGTTGGCTCCCTCTGCAGTTGGCGCCCGTTTTCAAATCCCTCTGGCACTTTCGGATTTCGATACTTGGCGCCATCCGGCATTCTGGCGCCCAGGCTCAGACCTTCGATTTTGAGTTCAGCCCCGAGGCAAATTGCACTTCTGCCCGCGGGACTCAACTTGAGTCCGGTACTTAAGACTGGACTCAAGCTGAGTTCGGGCATTCAGTTTTCGGCCTCAGTGCTTGTGCTTCAGTGTGACTTGCTGCGACATTGTGTTCGGAATCCAAGATTGCGACTTTGCCACTTTGTGTCTGCGTCCGTCGATTCGTGTCGAATCTGCGTCGAGTCGAGTGAGCGTGTGTGTGTGCTCGCACTCTCCCTCTCTCTCCTAGTCTCGCTGCTCTGCCTCAGCCCCATCACACCCAGGGCCGTCCCGTAGGGTAGGATGTAGGGTCTAGAGGCCGAAGTGTCGTAGGTCGGTAGGTGTCGGTACCCAAGTGTCATTGGTCGGTAGGAGTCCGTTCGGTACCTGACAAGAAAAGTCCAGAAGCGTCCAGTCCAGTCTTGACAGTCCCGAGTCCAATTTTGCAGCATGTCCCAGGAATTTCCGGAAGCTACCTGACCGACAAAATGTTTGCAGCAGACAGGCCGCGACTGACCGGTACCAGTCTGAAGCAGGCCAAGTCAAGTCAAGCCCAGCAAAGCCAAGTCCTATGTTTAGCTGCTACAGTGCAGCGGCTCATCACTTGTTTAGCTGTGGAAGCGCTGCTGCTGCTTGTGCGTTAAGGCAACTTGTGCACTGTGCGCCCGAAGAAGAAGAGGGCGCTTGAGAGATTTTCCATAGCTAGGCTAGCGGTAGAGCAGGAGGACGGCGGCCATAGCCACCAAGGTGTAAGCTACCTGAGTGGGTGTATCCAGGGTAACGATCTTGGGTGGAGAGAAGAGAGAGAGTGAGGCAGAGCGAGTCAAGTCAGAGAGAGAGGAGAGGGGAGAAGCCATAGCCGCTATCTGGTTGAGATCCGTTGTGCGTGTGTGTGCGGCAAAGCCGCTGGATTCAAACATTCCTGTATATTGATAATAATATTGGAGACGGCATCTTCAAGTGTTGATTGTATCTCGATCTGGTTTCTCATGTGTGAACTGTCATGTGAATGTTCATTGATGTATGCAAGGTTGAAATTGACGAGTACTTGGCTGATTTCAGGTGGATTGGCTGAATGGTACCGCACATGTAACTGTTTGATGAACAGCTCACAAGTTCGAATCCTGGCGAATCAGTCAGATGCATGCAATAATGGTAGGAACTGCACCTCTCTGAGGGGGCAAAAAAGGAGGGGAGGAATTATATGATCGATGGTGATGGGCGACCTGTTACGGTGGCATGGAGCTAACTATACTACTGAGAAATTTGGGAGAAAGGCCACAGGTTGTCAAGGAGTGCATGACACTGCATGTGAAATCCTAGCCCATCCTCAACTGCACAATCACATTGGCCTGATTCAGCGTGGTTCTGTCTGTTCGGTTTGTGAATTGGGGTTGGTCACTGTCGGTGACAATTGCCATTCTCCTCCTTTTCACACACACAAACAGGCCAGGCTGTTGGATGGAGCACATGATGATGGACAATGAGACAGGACTGGATCCCGCAGGCATCAGAGTGAGACCAGTCTCGGGTCTTGTGGCAGCAGACTACTTCATGCCCGGGTACTTTGTCTGGGCGCCGTTGATCGAGAGCCTCGCGCAAGTTGGTTATGATGAAAGGAGTCTTCATATGGCAGCGTACGACTGGCGGTTATCTTTCCAAAACACAGAGGTAGGTGGGGTGGGTGCGTTCTATTGTTGTTTCTGACTTTCTTCTTTTTGTTGCAAATCCTTGGCTGCCTCTGCTTCCCTGGCAGCTCTGTCTCGTTCCCTGGCTTTTCTGGTCTTCTTTGGATGCTCTGTTTGTCCCCTTCTCTTTGAGAGTTTTGAGTCCTGTCAGGCAGATTCACGAATGTTAGGGGCGGCGGCCTCTGCCTCCTCCTGCTTTTTCAGGAAAAAAAAGAAAAAGAAATCCTGTTACAGGAGCAGCAATGCGAGTTGACTCTGCAGCACGGAGCTTGCAAAGAGGAGCCAGGTATGTAAGGTCTTCCACGATTCAGACCCCAAATTCCAGTTTCAGGGTCAGACGCTTGGGCCAAGAAAGGCCAAAACGGTCAGTTTCAGAAAAGTCACAGTCACATCTCAGGGGTAAAATCACGTCTCATAATGAAAAGTCATATTGGAAAGTCACATTCCATGGGCAAAAGACACTTTACAGGCAGAGTTGTGTCCCAAAGGCGGGAGTCACAAACCACAGTCAAAAGCCACGTGCCACAATTGAAAAGTCGTGACTCAAAGGCCCAAGCAGCAGCACACCAATGAAAATTGGGGACAGGTACCAGGCCCTCACATTCGAAAGCAAACAGGCCGTGGGGATGTGGTACCGGAACCAAGTCAAGCCCCAAGAAGCAGAGGCTGGCACGAGTTGAAGTTCGGTCCAAGACAATATAAGGACTGGCCAGCCTCCTCATTCGGCAGATTGCTCATCGCATGAAGTGTGGAAGTGCTGGTGCACTTGTGCCCTATTGTGAGGAGCGGAGCGCTGAGCCAGGGAGCTGTGCTGTTGGAGAGAGAGTGAGGGAGAGCCATAGCTGCCCAGCGCTGGCAGAGGGAAGGCAGCCATAGCTGCGCCAGTGCTAGTTGTTAGTAGCAGACCTCAGAGGGGTTAGTAGAGTTAGCAGTGGGTGTATTCAAGTAGACCGAGAGAAGACCGAGAGAGAAGAGAGAAGAGCAGTGGGTGTGAGAGTTGGTCCTGGAGTAGTAGAAGGTGTGAGTGCATGCAAGTAGGGAGAGAAGACACAGGAAGGTAGTAGAGAGAAGACCGAGAGAGAAGAGAGAAGAGCTTTGGGAGAGAGACTTACCTGAATGGAGATACTGGATACTTGGGTTTGCGCTGTTGAGTGCCTGTGACTGAAACTCTTAATTGTTGTATGATAATTTGTTGGAACTCTAAAGCTGCGCTTACCTGGTCTTCGTTTCTCTGGCCTCCCGTGTGAACTTTGTGTGAACTCGTTCATGCATGGTGTGTGATTGTGTGCACTTGTTGGTGGTAAGACGAGAGGTTCATTGGAAAGTGGTATCGGAGCAGAACCTCGCCGCATCCACTGGATATTGCTGGCAATGATCAAGGCCGGCTAGAGAGAGAAGTCAGTGGGGAGAAGTCTGACGAAGGGGGGAGGGTAGGCTGAAGAAGTGGCTTGTTGAGTGGTGATTACGCACCTGCTGCTGCGTTGGAGCGTTGCAGCAATCGTGGAGCTTCATCGACGGAATGTTCGCTGAAGTCAAGTGCATCCCCCCTAAGCTTGTATGGCTTGCTGAGTTGTCTTGGTGATTGGTACTGCTGGGCTGGTCTAAGTAGTGGGACATATTCCATTTGCCTTGAGTCTAGCAACCGGTCCGCTCGTAAAAAAAAAAAAAACAGTATATACATGTTGCCAAAGCAACATCTCATCCCCCCACACTACCACACAACAACCGCACTCCCTTCACTCAGTGCACAGGGCTTTGAGACACCTTCAACAACACTTTGCTATTGTTCCTGTCGACAAGACCTCACATAACTTRGCAATCTGTTGTAAAAATTGGTACCTGTCTCATCTATCTGCTCATTTGGACAGCCCTACCTATGATGTGCCTCTTGAGTCTGTTGCAGATATTTTGGAACATCACGCGCTCTGGAATCATCGGTGGGGATATACACACAAAGACACGCTGCCATATCTGTACTATGCACTGAAAGTGCCCAAATCGCCCCATGGGCTTCGAAGTATTGTCGGTGTCACATAGCAGAATAATCTCTCCCTGCCGCAGCGATCTCGATCAACTGCGCCATCTGTTCATGCAGTCTACCATCGACCTCCCCACAAACCGTTGGCCAGTACCACTGTCGCTTCTGCCCGCCTCAGTGTTGGACTACAAGGAGTCGTTGAAACTCTCCGTGAGAAGGATAATGTGTTGTATCAGCAAAGCGGTGTGAGACGGTGCTGGATCGTGCAAAGCGCTGAGGAGGTGATGCTTGATCTCAAACGTAATTCCTCCTCTTCGTGACCATGCTCCTCGCACTGTTGATTTCACAACTATGTATACCAATCTTCCTCATGACCGTATTTGTCATAATGTATCAGAAGCGGTTGAGGAAGCCTTCACATATGCCTTACAACAGCACACACAGGGGCACACACATCCTCCTACCCTTAACATGATTGTTACAGGGCCCCACCAAGGGGAGTGGACGGTTGATACCAGACCAAACACCTTGAACGTTTCCCAAATTCTTGAACATCTCCATTTCATTGTCACAAACACGTATCTTTATGCAGCGGACGACACCTTGCGACATCCGCTGATTGGCATCCCGATGGGGACTAATTCTGGTCCGGAGATAGCTAATTTGACGTTGTATTGGGATGAGGCTCGAGTTGTTGATGACCTCCAGCGGCGTGATCTTTGCGCAGCTCAACGGTATGCGTTCACATCCCGCTTGATCGATGATGTTCTCTCATGGGGATATCTGGCACCACCGTCAGAGCACTATGGCCTCGAATGGAAGGAGACCACAACGCCTGATGGCTCTTGCACATCCAAGTCCGCCCTGACGGTTCCCTGCGTATGAGTGTCTTTGACAAAGCAGCTGAATGGAATTTCCCTGTTATTCGTTATCCTATTGCTATGTCTAACATCCCTGCACACCAGCCGGCGGGAGTGTTTACAGGCCAGCTCACTAGGTTTGAGTATGTTTGCAACGACTGGTATGATTTCAAAACTGCAGCAGCGATGCTCACACGGGCACTCTCCAACAACGCTTGCGAAAGGATGAACTTCCTATATTCGTAAACGTCAACACAGGTACCCTGCGCACGTAACCCGCCTCTCCAGCTGGTTCCGCGACATGCTTCGATGGTCTATTCATCATCCGCTTTCTCGGGTATCTACACACTCTCCTCGGACTGCGCCTGTCGCAGCCCCTTCTTCATTATCGGCGCTTGTCACACCTATCACAGCCTCTTTTTCATCACTTGTGTTTGCCGCACTTGCGCCCTCATCAGTCTTAGTAACCCCTTCCATGTCGTTTGTGACCCTGGCTGCCCCTTTTCGGTTCGCAGCCTCTTCCTCATCGGCCTTGGTTGCTTCTACGATTGATTCCGCGCGAGCAACTCGATCCGCAGCTACTGTGTCACCCTTGGTCTCGGTGTGTTCCTCCATGGCATCCGTGGCCAACGCAGTTGTTGTGTCGCCCTTGGTCTCGGTGTGTTCCTCCATGGCATTCGTGACCACCGCAGCTGTTGTATCGCCCGTGGTCTCGGTGCGTTCCTCCATCGCATCCGTGGCCATGCCTGCATTACCATCTGCAAAGTCCCCTCTTTGGGTCCCACCTACGACTGCCCCCCCTGTCTCTGCTTCAGCCACTTCACCACCCCTGATTTCATCCCCCCCGTCTTCACCGTCTTGATTTCCCGTGGTTTTATCGCCGTCTGTTACCCACATTCTGACTACTCTACAACCACTGTGTTCACCACTCCTACCTCCTCTGGTTTTGTCTCCATCAGTTACCCCTCTTCCTAATCCACAAACCACTTCGTCCACACAGACTCCGTCATCATGTTTTGCCCCTGCAGAAAGCCTACTTCGTCGTCCTAGACGCCGACTTCGACCTACTTCSCAACCTCARCTTACTCCCCTTTCCTCCATCTCTGTTCTTGGACGAAGAAGAACCCGTTCATTCTCCCCACCACGGCCCTCCCCAACATCCCGTCCCCGTCTTTTGCCGCCCCAAGCATCCTTACCACGCCTGCAACGATCTTCGATTGCAGACCTTTCTGCAACGCGGCAAACACAAAACAGGAGGGATGATGGCGAGGGACCATCCGAGGATGAACTTGGCAAGGGGACTGTAGGAGATTCTATAGAAAATCCACCTGACGGCCTCCACCGAATATGAATGGCCTCGCTGCTACTAACATATGCCTACAAGCCTATCGTCGGGAACCATATACTCACTTTGATTTCTGGGGCATTGCTTCCGATCTTGATTCTCACGAACGTGAGTTATATGGTGATAACCCGACTCTGCATCCCCCACATGATAGTAATTACACTCGACATGGGGGATTCAATGTTTCTGTTTTGGAGACTGCTTTGATAAGGCGTCGGCTTGATATGCAGCGTGCTCCTTCGGGTGGCGACCCGGACCACTGTTCGCACGTTTGTGCCTATTCTACATGTCTTGGCCACTACACCGCTCCTGTCCGTGGCTCTGGTTCTTGGGAATTATGGAATGGCGGTGCTATGGTGCAAACTATTATTGCCATCTGTGATCTCGTGCGTAATTACTAATTACCATAACCTACAATTGTTCCAGGTCATTGACCTTATGAGTACCTCGTGTACTTCCATACTCGCCTCTATGCCTATCTCCGTGCCTGCCTCCGTACCTGTCTTTGTGCCTTTTTTTGTGTCTGTCTCTTTCCAGATTTCTGACTCTATGGGTACCACATGTACTTTCTTCCCCGCCTCTGCACCTGTCTCTGTGCCTGCCTCCACAACTGTCTCCATGCCCGTTTCTGTGTCTGTCTCCGTGCCTACCTCCATGTCTGTCACTAAGCTTGCTTTAGTCTTTATTGCCCCACATGCTGCACAAACATCTTGTGACCTCCTTTGTGAGATCACTGACACATTACACTTGATTGTGGAAAGCATCGACTTTGTCGACATCACTACAACCGTATAATTCTTTGGGCCCGTTGTCGGCAGGGATGCCACCTGTATCCGGATTGTGAACATCCTATACATCCAGATGCAGTATGTCCCATCTGTGCCTGCAGGCGCTATAACAAATGTGCAGCCCACAATCGTCATGGCTTGCAACTGGAATGCCCTCTGTCGTGCATGCTTCAGAGGTATGGTTAATGCTAGCCGCCCTGGCTCCTGCTGTGACGCAGTTGCTTACCTGAATGGTTTTCGACCTGTAGATCAGTATGAGGGCTGCTACCATCGCCCGCATCCTTATGAYAGTTGTCCTATCTGTCGTGAGGGTGTTACATAGATGTACCTTGCACCCTTACAAAAATGTGCAGGTGCACTGAAAAGAGTGTACAAGAATGTGCAAAGGTGGGGAACCCTTCATTAAAACCGCAAAACTGTGAAGAATGCAGTAAAAGAACATTTTACTTCGTTTTTACCCTGCACCCTAACACCCTCAAAAGAAAAGTCCGAAGGGTGAAAATGAGGATGAAGAATGAAGAAGGAAGTGCAGGTGCGCTGAATAGCGAACGTGGTAGACTCTTCACCAAAACTGCAAATCTGTGAAAGAAAGAAGAATGCTGTAAAAGAAAGAAGATGTTTGTGTCAACATTTTTTATTTTTTCTCCCTCTGCCTATTTCTTTTCCCTTCTGCTCCTCTCTTGCTTGTGTTTAACACCTCTTCCTTCAGTCTGCCTCTTTCCCATATCGTGCAAGTGGGCTGTTATGGCATACGGGGATGAGGGCAGCTCGCGCTCAACTTCATCAACGTGGTGAGCCTTGTACGTTAGAGGCACAGTGTAGGAGGCGTTAAGAAGATTGAGAAACTTGTGATGACCCGTCCTAACATGGACTGAAACACACGACTGATTTCTGAGTTTTGCCCATAGACTGGATGCCTTGCTGAGTTTCCCGTCTGCTACTAAGTCTGTGTGTGCACGCTTGCTGGACTGCATGTGAGTGCTGGGTGGCTTGAGTGTGTGTGTGGCCGTGCCTGTCTGAGTGCTGGTTGGCTTGAGTGTGTGTGTGGTCGTGCCTGTCTAAGTGCTGGTTGGCTTGAGTGTGTGTGTGGCCCGCAAGGGCACTTGCTCGTTCATGGGGCCCTCTTACCTGTGGCCGTGACATTGAGGGATTGCAGCAGGAAAAACACTCAAGTAGCGGGTAGGCCGGTACCGCACCCTGAAGGGGTAGATGTGTGGGTACTGGAGGCCGAGCAGAAGAAGGCAAAAGTGGCATTTTTAGAGGCCCAGTAGTTGTAGGATAGGTCTAGGCGGATACCAGTCCAACCAGTTTGGGTCTGTACGGGCAATATCAGAGTCCGCAATGATGTTTCCCTCCGAAAGGGAGGAGGTACCGGTTGCTTGGAAGGCCGAGCGGCCTGGAAGTCACCGCCCGAAGAGGCAAGCAGGCCGCTATATCTCCCAGCCCGGCGAAGAGCCCGGCCTCTTTCTCAGTGTGCAAGTTTGGTGACACACTGGTTGGAGCACCGGTTGGAGCAGCGCTATCCAAGAGCAGCGCTGCTGGGGAAGGAGAAGGACACAGAGGAGGAAGAAGGACAAGAAGGGGGAGGAGCGCCAGGGGTACTTACCTGGCTATGGTGGCAGCCATCTTCATCACCTTGGTGGGCGCTGCAGCAGGGAATCCCCAACTGGGGAGAGCTACACCAAGAAGCTTCGAGGCAGGGTCTGGCATGGCGGCCTGAGCTAGAGCAGCCATAGCTGCTTTGGGTTGTCCGTTGGGCATCTGGGCAAGGTCTAGTAGTCCGCCATGGCCCTGGCCTATGAGAGTGAAGAGTGGGAGAAGCGGCCATGGCTATGGCGGACCTCAAGTGATACTTGCAGTAGAAGAGGAACTCAGACATTGATTCTGGATCAGCCATTCAACATTGTATTATTATTTCTTGTATGAATAAGGGAAGGGGGAGATAAGGAGGAGGAGATTGTTGGGTGAAGAAAAGAGCCTTGTCATTCGTCTGTGCTGGTGTTCATCATCTTCTTCTTCTTTCTTACTTCTTCTACATCTTCTAATCCTCTCTGTCCTCTGAAGTTCATTCATTTCTTTCTGCAATTGGACGGCATTGTACTATCTTATGGATGTGTATCTCGAAATTGGTCAAGATCATAACATTGGTATCGGAGCGGATTCTACTTGCTGGTGAGAGTTGACTTTGTTGCCTTAACCCTAACCTAAGTGGTTGAGGGCAACACTTAGGGTTAGGGTTGGTTGGTTGAGGGAAGTGGGGCAGTGTGGCTAAGGGAAGCTGGCCCCACTTGGTTAGGTCATGTGGGGTCAACATTGAACCTAACCAGGTTGCTTGAGAGTGAGACTAGGGTAGCAAGACATTTCGAGGCGACTTCATGCGGCAATTTGAGAGAGGCGACAGTGAGAGGCACGCGCACGTGGAATCTGATTCAAGGGAGACACTTAGCAACTTAAAGGCTGCCCTTACGCAGGCGAGCTTTAGGGTCAGCGACCACTCAACATCTACGCACTGCAAGTTGCTACTTTGTTCTTTAGCGTCGACGGGGGATCCGACATTGCACTTGGGTGTTGGAGTCAGACCCTCCTAGGGGATAGGACACTAGTGTAGGGGTAGCGTTAGAGGGGTCATGAGGATCAAATGAGAGGGGGGTGAGTTCTATTCATCTCGAAGCTCAAGGCCACTCAGGTAAGTGTCGTGCACCTACGGGATGCCCATGAATGTATGCATGGTATGGTTTGTCCTGCTGGGGTTACTCTAGGTTTCTTTTCCTACTCCTCTGTGGTCTTGATTGTGTGATTGAATGTGTGTGATCTACCTACTCACCTGATGGATGGAAAATGGAGTATCTTGATCCGAATGCGGAGTCTTTCTATAGTGCTTTGTCTTTTCATCTCTGAACGGTTGTAGTCTGTAGGTTCTGTCGGAAGTTGATATTTCGTTTTTCAGTACGGTAGTAATTGAATTCAGTCCATGTGGGACTCCTCTTGGTTGGGACCTGGTTGCGGCCTACGTGGGACCTCTGGGACCCAGTGGACCGGGCCCAAACAAGAAGAGCCGTTTGGACCCAAATCAGTTTGGCATTAGTCCATTGTTTTCCTGACTGAGATCCGGAGTTTTACTCTTGTTGGTTAGGACACCCACTGCCAATGGGATCTCGGCTGAGACGTTTCGCATGCTTTTGGTTGCACCGTCCGTGGCTTGACTTGCACCTTGTACACCACTCAATTCTCCATTGTTGCATTTAGTCACTCGTTGTCTGATTTGTTGCACGGTCACGGAGCTGGTCAGACTGGACTTAGAGGACCTCGTATGCAGTCTGATCAGACTCGGTCGCTGGATCAGACCTCTCATGTGAAATTGTTTGTTGTTCTTTGGTTTGCTGCTCTCTAAGTTGGCCTTCGGTCGCCTGTTGCTGAGCCCAATGCCGCTCCGACTAGGATTTGTACCTTCTCTCCTTTGAGCTTTTTAGTCTATTTCTCTAAGTTCATTTCCGATGCCCGTGGAGACTCGCAACCAGAAAGGAGAGAGAGAGAGGAGGGAGAGAGAAAAGGAAGAGAGGGAAAGTGACCGTCTGGGGTGGGCAAGGACTGGGAAACGGAGTGTTCGTCCAAGCGAAAAGGGGAGTGTACCTCTTGAGAGTCTGATTGATTTTTTTGCTGATTGGCGTCTCTCTGATCCACCTGCCGACGACAACGGTCTGAAAATGGCCCAGCCACGGCTAACCTCAGTTCAGTGGAAAACCCTGTTAGATGCAGCCAGCGATGCGGAGAAACCGTATTTGCAAGCACTCCTAGATAGTGCCATCAAAAGGGAACAAGAGACAGAGAAGGAGAGGAAGGAATTGCTGCTGAAAAGTCAGGAGGCCATCTTGGAAACTGTCCCCTCGCTGACCAAAGAGCAGTGTGGGAACAACTGCAGTCCATACTTACTGCTGTCGTCCAAGTCCGAAGCCTTGAAGATCATACTACTCAAATTATCGAAGTTTTCGCAAAATTGCAGAAACTTCAGGAGGATATGACTGAGATGACCGGCAAGTACCGTGACATGACGATAGAGGTTGCTGTGCTGCGACCAGCCCAAGCAGCCAATCCTCTTCCTCTACCCCCTAGTTCCGGAGCTGCAATTGAAACTAAGTCTGCCCCTCTTACCGTATCTTCTTCTACTTCTTCCTTGAGTGTGATGGCAAACCCATTAGGACCTGCAACAAGTGCAGATTCAGCTTTTGCCGTAACAAGCAACAAGGCAGGAAATTCTGCAACTGCTGCAGCCCCAAAATTTGAACCAGCAGGTGCTGGTCCCAGCCACGCCGGTCCCTATGTGGATCGAAAGGCGGTGCAAATACCGTCTACGTATGACGGCAAAGAAGACGTTGAATCCTGGATCAGCTCCATGAGGGCATACTTTGAGGTTCTGGGGACTCGAACTGAGACGCAGTCTGTGATCATGGGAATGAATGTCGAGCCTGTTGTACGGGGCTTCCTAGAGGTCCAAGCTACGCGAGCTGGGGTTCCTAACATAGTATTGACAAGGTGGCTTAAGGCCACCCCGGTTGCCTCCGTCGAGGATCACGGAGCCAGCTTGATAAAATTAAACGCAGCAAGTGGACGGGCTCCATGAAAAGCCTGCAGACCTACCTCAGCAAGATGTTTGCTACACCGGGGTTAGAACTGACTGACCAATCTTGCTTGGATGTGGTCAAAGGCGCGGTTCCCACCAGTTTCACTAATCGCCTTGGCAGGGACTTCATTGGGTACACTGACTGGTTCACTCTTATGAAGTACATAGTCAGTCTTGAGGCTATAGACCTCGTTTCCACAACAGGCAGCAAAAAGCTCATGGGCGGCAGGCGGTTCAAAGGCAGCAGCCGTTTTGTTGTGCATGACCTGCTGGAGGTTGAAGAAGAGGCCGATGCAGATGACCCAACTCTTGTTGACGACCAAGAAGAGGACAATGATATAGCCTGTTAGTCAGCCCTGTTAGTCATCCCATGAGTCTGACACAAACCAAGAAGAAGAAAATTTCACTGCCTTTAAAAAAACTGCCAATACAAAGGGACCGAATCGAAATGCAAGGAAGAACTACGTCCAACTTCTAAAGGGAGTCAAGATCCCAGCAAAACCGGAGGATGCGGCCACTAAACCATGGGTCGATCCTCGGATCACTGAGAATGATTGGCGGGGTAGACTCAAGAAGGGGGTATGCCTGCATTGCCAGAAACCGAACGATAAGGTACAAGATTGCTATTGGCTGTAGGGAAACCAGAACCGGGCGTAGAGTCGACTTCAGCATCCTCTACAACAAAAAAGACTGAATCTGATGCAAATCAGCAGTCCTCCCTTGAAGCCCAATCATCTGCTGAAGCCAAGGCTGAAGTGTGTAATGTTTTGTATGTCGAGCCTTGGGAGGAGTGGGGGACTGTCGATTTCCACTACCACTTGGATCATTGGGCTGAGATGAAACAGCAGCGTGCCCAAGGGAGAGTGAAGTTGATCTTCTTCAAACTTCTCATAAACCACCGCTATCTTCGTGTCTTGATTGACTGTGGCGCTGTCGGGACAGAAACCCTTGTGAGGGTTTCTGCCCGAGTTTTTCAAGGTCAGACACTGACCGACTTTTTTTGTTGAGAAACTTGATGAGATAGATGTTGTTAAAGTTTATTCAGACCAACCTAAAATGTTTGAAGTTGATGAGGTTCAGGCATGATGACGGTAACGTTGCTAGCATTATTGAAGTCGCTGGCACCGTCGACATGCGGTGACCTTAATGTAAGGCGCCGTTGACATCCAGTTGAAGCAGCAGTAATGGAGGGAATCACCATTGGCCGCATTCGACAGAGTCATAGGTGTGTGCGGCAGTGGGGAGATTGGGATTAAACCCACACCACCTCAAAAGTGGCACGCGCGGCCATAGACCGCGAGGTTTTAGGGCTTGGAGGGGCTCCACAGGGAAGTGCGCCATGTCCATGGTGGTGGCATGCGTGCTAGGTCGACGGGGTGCCACCATGCGGATAGCGCCGCGCCCGGTCCGCAATTGGGGACATTAAGGGGTGCGGGCAAGGCCTGTGTGGGGCCACGTAAGGGTACGAGGGGCTGAGCTCTTCATATAGAAGAGCAGCTCCTATTCCTATGTGGAATGGGAGCCAGCCCAGTAGGTTATAGCATTAGACTTTCACCTTGCAGATGTAGGGATCAAATTTGTGCGCGACTTTGGGCTGGCTCCTTTTGGAGCAGCCCATAGGAGCAGCCCATACGGCGAGGCCTAATCTCGGCCGCTGTGGGGACTCGAACTCGAGTCTGTATTTCAACAGTTCGTGGGCATGCCACGAGGGGACGTGATTGTTGGCAAAAACAACAGAATAGCAAAAAAAAAAAAAAAAAAAAAAGAATCCAACTGAAACTAGAGTGCCACATGGCGCTGTGAGAACTGACTGGGGCTTTCAACCCTCAGTTCAGCTGACGGTGCCCGTTTCAAACGAGCTACCGTTTTTTTTTTTTTTTTTTTTTTTTTGGTAAGTTTTTCTTTTGTTTTCTTCGTTAGATTTTTTAGATTTGCTTTAGATTCCTTTTTTGTTAGATTCTTTTGTTTTATATTTTCCTCTTGTGAGGTGGACTTAAGCCCGTTCGTTTTGACAAACGGGCTGCAAGGGGTGACTTCCCATCAAAAGGATGGGGAAAGTCAGATGGATTTAGTGTCGGTATGCGGGACTATACATCCACAGAGAGAGAGAGAGAGAGAGAGAGAGAGAGAGAGAGAGAGAGAGAGAGAGAG